CTTTACTGGTTTGTACTGGGTTTTCACTGTTTTTCACTGAGTTTCACCGATTTTTACTGGGTTTTACTGGGCTTTACTGGTTTTTATTGGGTTTTCACTAGTTTTTACTGGGTTTTACTGGTATTTACTGGGTTTTACAGGTTTTTGTTGGATTTTACTGGTCTTTACTGGTTTTTACTGGTTTTGCTGTGTTTGGAGCCACTCTGGGTCATAATTTGGGGCTGGAAGAGCAGCTCCCACTCCTGGTGCTACATCCCACCCTGGAAAGCTGCGGATTCCTCATTTTTGGCGCCCGATTTAGGAATTTCGTGCCCCATCCCCTGCCCTGGGGTTTCCCCCAGTCCATGTTTATCCAGGGGGTTCCACATCCCGAGATTCCAGTGGGAATTCTAGAGGTCCTGAAGGCTTTTCCGGCATAAATTTGGGATGCAGGAAGCGAAGGGAGNGAATGTTCACTCAGCTGCGCCTTAATTCCCTTTTCAATCTTGTCCCAATTAATTTCGCGGAATTAATCTCGCGGCGGCCGCTGGCTCCGACCACGGAATAGCAGCTCCTGTAAAATCCCATCTGGCGCCTTCCCGGCCTGACATTCCCGGGAAAACTGGACACTGGGAGCGGAATGAGCTCAGGGAATCATGGAATTGTCTGGAAACCGGTCCCATCCCAGCGTTCCTTGGGCACTTCCGGGGAAATTGGGCCTTGTTTTATCCCAGGAATCCCGGGAATGTCGCTCCCAAGGGATCTTGGTCCCCCTGGATCTGGGAGGTGACAAGCCCAGGGGTGCCAACAGCACATTCCCAGAGGGAGAAAACACTGGGAGTTCTTTTGGGAAATGGGAAGAGTCATTCCCACCCCTAATTCCCGTCCCTCATTCCCATCCCTGGAAGTGTCCAAGGCCAGGCTGGGCTGGGACAGCAGGTGTGGGAATGAGATGGGATTTGAGCTGCTTCCCACCCATCTGATCCTGGAATTCCATAATCCCAATAAAAACCCGTTCCCGTGTCCCTGCTCCCAGTTCTGCTCTCGTTTTCCCATCTGGGATAATTGTGGGAAAGCAGAGCCACTTCCGGCTTGGAGTGGGCTTAGCTGGAAGTGACACAGTGCTCATGAAACCAGGATCTGTTCATTCCCACATCCCATAAAACCGGGATCCTTTCATTCCCTCAATCCCTTCCCATAAAACTGGGATCCGTTCATTCCTCTATCCCATAAAACCGGGATCTGTTCATTCCTCTATCCCATAAAACCGGGATCCTTTCATTCCTCTATCCCATAAAACCGGGATCCGTTCATTCCCTCAATTCCTTCCCATAAAACTGGGATCCGTTCATTCCTCTATCCCATAAAACCAGGATCCGTTCATTCCCTCAATTCCTTCCCAATAAAACTGGGATACTTTCCTTCCTGTGTCCCATAAAACCGGGATCTGTTCATTCCTGTATCCCATAAAACCAGGATCTGTTCATTCCTCTATCCCATAAAACCAGGATCCGTTCATTCCCTCAATCCTTTCCCATAAAACCGGGATCTGTTCATTCCTCTATCCCATAAAACTGGGATC